CTGACTTTCACTTTCGCTGATCGTTTTATACAATCCCTGAAAAAAGTCTTGTTGCTTGTGTACACATTGTCCAAATTGGAATCAAATCAAGTTGAAAGTGCCAGTGAAATATATTTCTAATCAATATTTTTTAACATAAATGTTATCTCCTTGTTATTTGAGTTTCATCTGTGATTAATAATGGATCAATTAGGTCTAACACCTAGACTTCTGCAAACATGCCTTAGATTCACCCTGAGACTAAAGTGTTCTGAACTAAGTTCTGACTAAAGTGAGATCTGCAGGGTGGAAGGCAACATCAATAGTCTAAAATACCAAGAAATCTTAGCTACTGTACCTCTTATATTCCCAACCGTAAAAGAGGCCAAGTTCTGCAGCAGGATGGTGCTCCCTTGCATACTTCCATCTCCACATCAAAGTTCCTCCAGGCAAAGAAGATCAAGGTGCTCAAGGACTGGCCAGCCCGGTCACTAGATATATGAACATTATTGAGCATATGCGGAGTAGGATGAAAGAGGAAGAATGGAAAAAGAAACCAAAGAATATTGATGAACTCTGGGAGGCATGGAAGACTGCTTTCTTTGCTATTCCTGATAACTTCATTAATAAATTGTATGAATCCTTGCTACAACGCATGGATGCTGTCCTTCAAGCTCATGAAAGTCATACAAGATATTAAATTTGGATTAATGTGCTGAAATATTTTTATATTTGGAGTGAATTAGTTCAATTTTTGTGTAGGCGACAACTTATTGTTATTTTTTGACCTTTCTGTCTTGATTAAATCATCAATATTTTTTTTCAGTGAAACTAACTTATTTCAGTGCTTTAAACATTATTTGGGAGGGTTTTATCTTTTTATATGAGCTATTTCTAACACCAATTGATTAATTGAAAGTCTGGTTAATAGCAGGCGTTTCTACAAAATAGATCAGCGACCAGGCTTTTGTCAGGCACTGTATTTCGCTCACAAGAGACCCAGAAGTATGGTATCTTACTCGGGACGTCTGTTCATGCTTCCCTAATCATAATAAACTTATCAACATTGGGGAACCGTTTTCTCTTAATTGATGAGTTATCTTTGTGAATTGATTGTTAATGGTGGAGAATACCACAGCATACCACATTTTGGACAACTTCAAACTCCCAAATTTGTTGTAACAGTTTGGGGATGCCGTTTTTCATGATTGCGCACCGGTGTCCATAAAGGTCGATAAAGACACTGATGCACCAGCAAGGTCAATAAAGACACCAATGAGTGAGTTTGGTGTGGAGAAACTTGACTGGCCTGACCTCAAAACTCATTGAACACCTTTGGGATAGAGTGCAGACTGAGCTATGAAACTTCTCATCCAAAATCAATGCCTGACCTCAAAATTGTGCATAGGAGAATGGTCAAAAATTCCCACAAACTGTCCTACTCCTCATGGAAAGCTTTTTCAGAAGAATTAAAGCTGTTATTGCTTTAAAGAGGTAGGGCCATATTAATCCACATTAAACCCTGTGGATGAAGAATGGGGTGTGATTAATGTTCATGTGCATGTGAAGGGAGATGTTTCAAAACTTTAAGCAATATAAAGTATCTCATCACACATACAACATAAACCTGCACCTAATTGCCTGTTAGCTTTAATTTATTCATCTCTATCTTGCTATGCACAGATGACACCTAATATCCCTTGACGTTCACAAACACAGACTGTGTGCACACAGTAAACAACAATATACAGTATATGTGAGATTGCCAGCCCGCCCGAGTCAAATTGCATTTCAGACAAATTGGATTTCGCATACATGTTTGAGTTAGAAATACGATTCAAAAGAGCCTTATTGGATTGGCCCTATTAAGGATGACCGGAGCAGCCATTAGGACATCTTGAACCCCATTAGGGGTGACAGAGGAGATAAGAACGCAGCAGTCAGCAGCAAAGGTGCTCCTCTGCCTGGCCAGGTGTCCCAGATTGCATCCTAATCAGATGCTGGATGTGGAGTGGCTTCTGTCCACCGTGACGTTAACATGCAATTAGAGCCTTTTCAAAGTGTGTAGAAGGAAAAAAAAAAGTGTTGATCTGGATTAGGCTTGTCGAATGTGGGGCTGCCTCGTGACTGTGCATTTGTGAGTCTACCCCTTATTAGTCTCTTTCTTTTCTTATATTCCTGTTGTACTTTTCATTAGTTCAATTGTGTTTCCATAATTTATCAAACAAACCAGAAAAGAAGGAGAAGAAGAGGCAAAAAACAATTTCCTTCATTAAGAAGCACTCTCAGAAGCAAAAAGACTAGGGATGTCCCGATCAGGTGTTTTTTGCTCTCAAGTACGAGTAATTTAATTTTGAGTATCTAGCGATACCGAAACCCGATCCAATACTTCTATAATACATTAAAAAAGAATATAGAGTGAAGAAACAGATCTAGGATGTTCCTTTTTTATATAATTCACCTTATTTTAACATTCAACAACTCTGTTAACAATCAGAGCACTTCTGTGAGGTAGCTTGAACAACCAAGTAATAAAAACATAAATTCTTCACTATTAGACTTTAGTCAGTGCAACAGTAAATATAAAAAATAGAAAGTAAAACAAAATAGCACCTCAACTTAAATACCCGGCAGACTTTTAAACAAAAAAAAAGGTTGAAACAGTGTTTGCAAAGCCAGTAATGTGCTTTTTGGAACTGCACTCCTAACTCTTAAGCAGGTCGCACACCAGAAGCGCCATGTATTTTAGAATTCTAAACATAGGTTTCTATCAGGATACACACACCGGCGCCGCAAGTCGGCGGCTGTCGGCGGCGCCCGGCGACGGCTCAGGACGCAGTTCATTTTTCAGCCGCGCCACAGAGCGCCATCTGATTAGTTTCATGTTAAATATCATTCGAATGTGCGCGTCTGGTGTGTGATACCTTAAACTGTCATGTACGTGCCGTGTTGCGGCGCCGAGCGGCGCTTCTAGTGTGCGACCTGCTTTACCGTCAGCACAGTAGAAAATTTCGCAGAAGGAAATGTGTTTTTTCTTAATGAAAACTAACCTTGTCAGGTTTGAGCCTGTTTCTGTTCTCATCAAGGATGTTTGCAATGGCACTAAAAAGTCTCAATAACTTTAGAATACACCCAGATCGCATACATACTCGCGCTTTCTGCTTCAGACTGCTTCCGTGTTCTACTTTGCCAGTCCTGATCGATTTCTTCGAGTCATGATCGGGAGGTAACGTCTGTTTCCGATCAAGTCTGAAACCGTGTGTTCGGGCCCGATTTACAATCAGGTGATTTGATCTGGACATTCCTTAAAAAAAAAACTATTGGTCTTTGCATGGTCTTAAAAATGAGAGGATGAAACCTCAGATAAACGACACCTAACCTCTCACATAATGTTGTTATTTATATAAAGAAAAAAGCCTAGATAGAAAAGCCTGTAATTCCTATAATTAAAACCATATAATTCAGATGCCTGTATGTCCTGTTTATCAATCTCAAATTATTCCGGGGAAGTTTTGGAGTATTTCAGCCTTTTTACTTTTCAGTTGTTTTGTTGTAGATTTGTGTGCTTGGGATTATTGTCTTGTTGCATGACCCTATTTTGGGCTAAGCTTAAAGCCTGATTTATACTTCTGCGTCAAGTGCATGCATATGCATCGGCGCTGCCTTGCATCTTTGCATAGCCCTCACTGTGATTGGTTGGCTTGGTATCGCTGATGAGTGTGGGCGGGACAGAGAGCTGCACGAACCCATTGGAGCAAGTGTTCACAAATGTCGAGTCCTGTGAAGGAGCTGCAGATGGAGACGTTTGTTTTGTCTTTACCTCATGATTAAAGTTCTTGCACATCCGCTGGTCCCCATCTTAAAATGAGCGAGTTTGAGCCACTTGTACATTTAAGGTAGCATTTAGAAAAAAACAAAAAACACCATCGAAGAAACTCGACACAGGGGAACATAAACACCTACTGCCAGCTGGTGTTTTGGAAGTATTATTGCAGCGCAACACAAACAGCACGCAGAACTATAAATGCACGGCAACATGCAAGGCATGTGCCGCAGGTCATGCTGATCACACGACGCAGAAGTATAAACCAGGCTAAAGCTGTTGTACAGGCATTATTTTCCAACAAACTGAAAAAAAAGAGTTGTATGTATTGTAATATTTACATTGGCGACGCAGTGGCGCAGTGCGTAGCACGGTCGCCTCACAGCAAGAAGGTCGCTGGGTCGCTGGTTTGATCCTTGGCTCGGTTGGCGTTTCTGTGTGGAGTTTGCATGTTCTCCCTGCATTTGCCTGGGTTTCCTCCGGGTGCTCCGGTTTCCCCCACAGTCCAAAGACATGCGGTACAGGTGAATTGGGTAGGCTAAATTGTCCGTAGTGCATGAGTGTGTGTGGATTTGGATGTTTCCCAGAGATGGGTTGCGGCTGGAAGGGCATAAGCTGCATAAAAACTTGCTGGATAAGTTGCCGGTTCATTCCACTGTGGCGACCCCGGATTAATAAAGGGACTAAGCCGACAAGAAAATGAATGAATAATATTTATATTTATGTGTTCAAATGAATCTTTTTTGAATTGCCGAAAAATTGTTAAATCTCTGTCTTTCAACTTCCTTTCTGAATGTGTTTTGAGTCCCAACGCTTTCTATCGCTGCATTTTGCTGCCCTATAGAGCAGTGCATGCGCAGGCCGGGAATGAACCGTATGACCCGAGACCAATGGTTTCCCACGGCAGATCTGGACCGATTCCAAGGCGAACGTGCCATAGAGACAGACTGTCAAAACTCAGATCAGCAATCCTTCATTGTCTGCATCTCTCTGTTTGTCCTGTTGCTTATGTTAGCTTTTCCCTGATGGGTCCGGCTGTCTGTCCCAGTTTATGTTGTAGCTACTAAGACCCCCTTAGCCTCAGAAATATTGTTTTAGGGATCTCTGACAATACATTTGAACCGGCCATGGTGTAAAAATAAGTCTTTTTACATCTCAAGATGGCTTTTATTTTATTTTCCTCTTCCTCCCTCTCTAGTGTGCACTAAAGGCCAGGCAGTGAGTGGTCAGTACAGGATGTTGGCCAAGAATGGGGGCTATGTGTGGGTGGAGACCCGGGGTACCGTCATCTACAACAGCCGCAACTCCCAGCCCCAGTGCATTGTGTGCGTGAACTACGTGCTGAGGTAAGGCACAAAAAAGAAAGGTGACAAAGCTTGTGATGTGTTTGCACTGCATCTGAGACTCTGTCCTCTGCTCACTGATGCTTAAAATTAAATAAGAGACAAAAAATACAACTTAACCAAAGAGCTTGCCCAAAATTGAAAGTGACCGTGCCATGAATTTCCCATTGTGCTCTCTTTTCATAGTGACGTTGAGGAGAAATCCTTGATCTTTTCCATGGACCAGACTGAGTCTCTGTTCAAGCCTCACAAGTTGAATGGTTTCTTCAGTCCAAAAGAAGCCCTGGGCAGCGATCCAGCTGATTTGCTCTTCACCAAACTGAAAGAGGAGCCTGAAGATCTCACGCAGCTGGCACCTACACCTGGGGACACCATCATCTCTCTTGACTTTGGTGAGAACAATGGTGATGTTTTTGGATTGATGCAGGACTTCCAGAGGCCTGTACCAATATCTAAGGAACAGGGTAGCCAATGACGAACATCTGTTGAATAGTTGAAAACAAAACTTGCAAATGTTGTTTGCCAATGATGAAGTGGCTCTTTGCTGTATGTACTGCTAGTCAAGATTGCATATCCATTTATAAACAATATAGTATTTGAAAAGAATCCCTGGATTTTTCCTATGCATTTTTAAAGTGGAACTGGCCTTTATAATCTCAAAATGGCCCAAAAAATGTAGTTAATCCTGATGTCGGCCTATCACTATTTTATGCCATGTAACAACATTTCTTTCCTTTCCTTTCAGGTCAGTCTCAGTATGAGGAGCACACAGTGTACAACAAAGTATCTTCAGTTGCACAGACTGTCTCTCACCCTGTTCATGATGGCCACAGGACAAGCTACTCTGGAGAAATGGCCAAGATGGCCGCCACTTTCTCTGTGCCTCAATCTGCACCTCCAAGTAGTGCAACTCCCAGCCTAAGCAGCTGCTCTACGGTAAACCGAAACATGAAATGCTCTCATTGCTACATATTATGTTTATTTTTGTTATGTTTTTTAGCATGTCATCTTTTATACACTGAACAGCCCAGCAGCCCAGATGATTACTACACCCCTGTAGACAGTGACCTAAAGGTTGAATTGACAGAGAAACTGTTTTCCTTGGACACGCAAGAGGCAAAGACTTCCCGCAACCAAGAGGTTAAAAAGATTCAGCTTTTAATATTAATTATAAGTAAGGCCTCATTTGTTAGCCTTGGTTAATGCAAATGACATTGGCAAACATGAACTAACAAGGAATAATATATATTTTCGAAGCATTACTGTTTTAGGGGCATATCAAATTGTGGTCACTTTATTTTGATGGTCCGTTTGTTAAATTTGATTTACATTGTATCTACATGCCAACTAATTATCATTCGATTATAAGTAGCCTGTTAGGTTGGGGTTGGGTTTAGTGTAAGTTGACATGAAAGTGCAAAGTTTCTTATAGTCAGTTGCATGTCTGTTGAATATTTGTATCAACAGATATTAAGCAAACAGTCTACAAATACTCAAATGGACCATCAAAATAAAGTGTTACCCAAATTGTTTGTTTATTCAAGTTAGTTCAAATTGATCAATTATTAAGCACATTCAACACTGGATTTAAAAAATGTACTAGTAAATTTTGAAGTTATCATAGGTTAAGTTTAGTACATGGAGGAAAAGTATTATAAATTGTAAGTTCAATTGAAACCATAGGATAAAAGGTATTACTGTTAACAGTACTTTGTAGCTTCATTTCTTATAAAATGTGTTAACACAATGTTTGGTTTTTCTGATAAAGACTGCACTTAAAAAATTATGGATTGACTTTAACCCAATCCCAATTCGATTTTTGTACCCCTACCCCTTCCCCTTCCTCTTGGCCCTTAAAACCGAGTGTTAAGGGGAAGGGCTTCAAAATTTACCTCTAAGAATTGGGACAGCACTACAGCACCTGCACACGTCATCACGATATCTCCTGCTTCATATGAGATCAGACAATTACAGCTGCTGTAGTTATTCCAGTTGAGTTATTTTTTGGTATTCATCTTCAGGAAATCACTGAAGGCAAATATTATGTTATCACAATGATCTAATGTGGCAATAAGATTGTAACTTACTGTGCATTTAACACAGTGGCCATATTCATCTAAGTAAACACACCAAAACCAACATTATCATTATAGCAGACACTGTAAAAAGCTCATTCCCAGCCACTAGACATTTCTGACAGGGTATTCAAGTGTAATCGAGTGTCAGAATGTTGTGGAACTGCTGTACAGGAGTTATTATTAGGGATTGTAGATCGCGAAGTTTTGCGGTCTTTGTTTTAGCATTTTTTTTTAAGCATGACGGTAAAACTCAAACACGAACACGAATACCCCTTACCCTTAGCCCTACACCTTCAAGTTAAAGAGAATTTGGACACCCCTACTCCTTGACGGCAATACACAAAACGAGTGGTAGGGGTAAGGGTAAGGGCTAAGGGGGAGAATTGGGATTGGGCCTAGATCTCTGTGAAATTGACAGTAGTTTTCATATAATAACAAACAATGGAAAGTAACAATCATTTACACCTGACATATTGACTTATCACTAAATTATATCACTAAAATGGTCTTTTCATCTAAAACATGCTTCAAATTATTATATTCATATCACAATGTAAAAGACAACAAAACTTTTTGGAATTAATTATTTATTTTTCCCACTCAAGATTCCTTTCAGTGTTGATATGTAATGCAAATGACTGGTGTTTCATGCCTGCTTTTTCTGACCCCCCTCCATCACCTTTCAGACTGACTTGAGTGATCTGGACTTGGAGACACTGGCTCCCTATATCCCCATGGATGGTGAGGATTTCCAGCTCAATCCCATCTGTCCGGAAGAGCCGCCATCTGAGATTGGAACCCTGGGAACCAACCAGCAGTGCTTCAGCAACATCACAAGCCTCTTCCAACCCTTGAGTTCACCTTCAGCAGCTCATTACCAGCCCAAAATGAGTTCAGGAGGGGACAAGCAGAACATCAATGGAGGCTCTGTGGAGTCATGGCCACCTGTTCCTTACAGCAGGGATCCCATGCAGATGCCTCCATACCATGATCCCGCCAGCACACCGCTGTCCTCAATGGGAGGGCGTCAGAATCTCCAATGGCCGCCCGACCCTCCTTTACCCAGCAAGGCTGGAATGATGGATCCTTTAGCTGCAAAGCGCTCTTGCCAAGGCATGCCAGCAAATCGAATGGCACCTTTTATGCAAAGGTAAGTGTGCATGTTACTTGGTGTTAGTTTTGGTTCATTGTTCAGTTTAAAAATGCTGCTGTCTTTGAATTTGCGTTGAATGACAACGTATTTGTTTCACAGGCCTATGGAGAACTTTGTGCAGAACTACAGAGATACAAGTCCAGCTCGACTTGCTCTTGCTAACAGTTTCAAACGCTCATTCTCACAGATGGCCATGGTTTGTTCTTATTTCATTTTAATAATGTTTCATAATCTTACTTTCTTGCTCTATTTTGTTTAAATGCAGCCTTAGAGAACATAAGAGACCTGTGGAAAAAAAGCTATACGAGTTTGAAAGCTATGCTTATCAGAACATATCTGTTTAACCGTTTTACAAAGAAAATCAGTTAAATTTAAGTTGGTCAATTGCCAAAGAGTCATCCCAGTAATGTAATTGTATTTATAGAAGAAGCTGTATTAATATTATTAATTGCATCTTTGCATTATTATTTATTCAAGCACAGTAAAATATGCTAAGACAATGGGAAGTTGTATAATAAAACACATGAGAACTTGCTGTGACAAATAAATACTTTCTTGCCTACTCCCAGGGTGGTTTATATTAAAGTTGATATGTTGAGCCGCACAGTGTTGGGCAGTAGCGTCGCCAAAAGTAGTGACGCTACTAGCTTAACTACATTTCTCAGTATAGTGGCGGTAGCGTCGCTACTTTCTAAATCATATAGCTTTTCAGTAGCGAAGCTATTTTATTAGTCAAGTAGCGCAGTAGCGTCCACACAAGCTACATTTACCAATCGTGGATCAATAAGTGACGGCGCCGACATTCACTGAGCTGTGAGGCCGATGTGTCTAGCCGATGAAAGTAATTTCATTTGATAGCGAGAATGCCTTTGTTTACCAACAAAGTTTTTGGTGTGTTAATGCCACCTCTGGTGAAACTTGCTTGATGGAAAGATGACTGAGGGAGAGGAGTTATTTCTGAAGCAGGACTCCTTGTGACCATACCTCAAGAAGTACATGTTACGATGCAATAACTTCATTTCTGATGCTGTACACAAAAAAAATAAAATAAAAATACTTTAGTGTGTAGTGTGTTTGTGTGTGTGTGTGTGTGTGTGTGTGTGTATATATATATATATATATATACACACACACACACACACTATAATTATACATGGTTAACTTGCTCCAAAATATTTCCTTTTACTATAAATTACTATAGTATTTTTAATGTGTAACACCTGGTTTTATCAGATTTTTTTGTTTCAGCTGTTATATACTATAATGTGTTTCTGTTTAGTACAGCATATTAATTGCAGTAAATAATTGAACTGAACAATTATCCCTCATATGTTTCGTTGACCGTTTTAATGATCACTAAGATATAATTGACTTGGATTTAAGTTGCTTCGATTTAAAAATGAAAATTGTAAAAATAACTTAGATGTAGCTAAGCTTCTTTTGCCGTGTAGCGTTTAGCTTAGCTTGCTACATTTCCCAGGGGGGGGGGGTAGCTTTTAGTGTAGTTAAGCTACATTTTAAGTAGAGTGGCTTATAGCTTAGCTCACTACATTTTTCAAGTAGCTTGCCCAACACTGGAGCCGCACTATTTTAGTGTTTCATAACATCTAAGGACCAGGACATACACGCATACACTACGGGAATTTAGCTTACACAATTCACCTATAGCGCATGTCTTGGACTTGTGGGGGAACTGGAGAACCTGGAGGAAGCCCACACGAACACAAAGAGACCATGCAAACTCCACACAGAAATGCCAACTTGCACAGCTGGGGCTCGAACCAGTGACCTTGCAGTCATGTGACAGTGCTACCTGCAGCGCCACTATGCCACCATAGCAAATAAATAATGGAAAAAACAATCTTACTGGCTGCATTTACTGATGCAAGAAATGTACGTTTGCCTACCAAACCATGAACCAATTAGTCATAAACCTACATGAAATATTCTTTTGGAAAAGTATCCATTCAAAATTAAACCGTTTTAAAGATCCTATTGGGTGATTCGTATTATGTTTTATCTGTATATTTCAGGCAGAGACACCACCTACTAAGTCTCAACAGACAGTGTGGAAGAAACTTCGGCATGAGAGCTGTGCAGTCATGGAAAGGAAATCACTCAGCAGTAGCGCATTGTCAGGTATTACAATTACAATTAGTGATGATTTCAAGAATGTCTGGCAAATAAAACTACATGAAAGAGCAGTATAAAATATATATATATATATATATATATATATATATATATATATATATATATATATATATATATATATATATATATATATATATATTGCTGGTGAATGTTTGATTCTTGTTTTAAGTTATGCAATTATTTTTTCTAAACACACAGCTAAAGCAACAAGAGAATGATCCTAGGGCTGGTACACTCCAAGCTGATTCCAAACAACTAGTATCAATGGAACTATTTTGTCGTCTCGCGCCCAAAAAGCTACACCAAAATAGACAAAATCTAATTATCCATATGCAACATACAGATGTTAACACTTCAATATGTTTCCTGTGTTCAATATGTTCTCTGTTATTTTTATAATTGCTAATAAAATGCCTCAGTTATACTTATTATTTTAGTGATCTGCTTGAGGTAGGTCAAATTGTTTTATGCTTTTGATGAAAGCTTAAGAGCCCTTTCGACCATGCGCCGGACCGTTTCTCCATGTTTCGCTTTTAATTACTTTAAATAAATAGTCATTTAGGCCTATAATTATTATTCATTTATTATTTAAGACATATTTATGTCTTAAATTTATTATTTAAGATAATTGACCTTATTCTAAAATGCGGAAGTGCGCCTGTTTTCGCGATTGTCTTAGAACTTCCGATTCAGTCGCCTATGGGAGAAATGACTAGGAATAATAAACTGCAGAAAACGATCAAACTACTTGCTCTACAAACAAATGTTTGCATGACTACACAGACCAAGTAGAATAATATAATAAGGAAATATCAGTTTGCAACATTAAATGGCAAAACGAGCAGTTTTTAATGTCTAAAAAGGAATAGAAGTGAATGAGACTGGAAGTCTCGTGCCAAAAAGATTCAAATGGCTGCGCCCACTTGTCGGCGAAGAATAAGGTGAATAGTTAAGACATAAAATGAGATGGTGAAATATAATCAACAACAAAAATGTAAATGAAAAGTCCTCAGTGGAGAAACAACCGTAACCATACCCAAGTGTTCTCAGAATGATTAGGCACGATAGTGGAAAAGCAGGCAGCTGTAATGTATACTGTTTAATAATCAATTTAAATTATGTCACAAATAAATAAATAAATAAATAAAAAGCTTCATTAATTCCCGCCCTCTCGTGGTAGGTATGCACAGTGCGTACAGCTCTACGGCTGCAGGCGCCACTGAATCCAAGCATCAGAGAAAATGAAAAAGAAGCATTAAAGACAATTTACACATGCACACAAACACACACTCACACACACAAACACATACACACACACACACACTCAATGGCGATCTCTCTTAAAAGAGCCGCACCCCATTTTCACTCGTTACAGACACTTGTCAGATTTTATTTTAGAGAGCGGGTGGGAGGTTGACTGACTGTTTACACAGCAGAAAAGCGCGTGCTTGTACAGGCGTGACGTGGAGCCGATCCGCGAATCACAGCACATTGTGATAGATGACCAATTAGAGTCACTTAAGGGCGGGCCTTTCAGAGGAACTAGGAAATATGTCAGTCGTTTTCATGTTAGCAGAGTAGCTGTATATAATCAAAGTAAGATATATGAAAAACTAACATGATTTTCTTCAAGTGAAACATGAGCACACATTGCTTTGCATCTTATTAACACAACCAAGCCTTAAAATTACATTCTGGACCACCCCTTTAAGGAACTACTGCTAACAGTGATATACTGACATCTAAGTTTGTTAGCTTTTCTTCCTTGACTTTATATTTGTCAAATAAATAATGAGATGCTCATCAGCAACGTTTTGTTTTTTATTCCTAGATAAAAGCATGGCCCATAATGGAGGCATGGACCACCAGCACAGGAAGAGCCAGTACTCGGGTAATCAGAACGGACAACCGACAAAACACTACCGAGAACAGTTCTGTAACTACAGAGAGTTCAACATGCAGCCTTCCTCCAAAATGGATGGTGAGCTTTAAACTGACGCAAACACACAGCTGCACTAATACTTTACGCACTGTTGATGCTGATTCTCAGAACTGGTTGTGTTTGCAGGAATCGCGAGCCGTCTTATCGGGCCCTCCTTCGAGACCTACTCACTGCCTGAACTGACGCGTTACGACTGCGAGGTCAATGTCCCGTTGCAAGGCAATCTTCATTTGCTGCAGGGCAGTGACCTCCTAAGAGCATTAGACCAGGCGACTTAGACCGTTTTCTACACTAGCACACAGAAATGCAGTCCGGCTTTACTGACCCGTTCATTCATCTCACTGTCACCAACCTGACGATAACTATCCCAGCTTTAACACACTTCTAGGCAGGCTTGTGTATAAACCCGCTCACGGTCGCATCACAGTCATGACTGCATGACAAATGTAGCTTTGATTTTATCTGTATTGTCTACATCTTCATAAATTATATACATGTACTATTTTTTTAGTTGCAAGTAAGTTGATGAACTTAAGTATTTTTGGAGGAGTTTAAATGTTGCGTTGTCGTTTTTGGCCGGCTGTCTCTCTGCTTGACGGATAATTTTGCTGAAACTGTTTTCAACATGTTCTACTCTAGTCGGTTTCTCTATCAACATCAGACAAAAAAAGAAAAAAAGAGAGAGAGAGAGAAAGTAAAAAGAAAAGAATCTACTGTAAGCTACTTGTTTTTAAATGTTCTAATTTCTTTCATTTGTTCTAACTTTCCTACCTCTGACATGTTATTAAAGACCCCCTGAAATCAAAATGTTTTGAACCTCCCTTGGAATCCAAGGCGAAATTTAAATCACTTTAAATATCCTGTAACACTTGACTAATCAGCATTAACATTAGCTATTCTTCAATCTGCATACTTCAACTCAAGCCCCTTAAAAATGTAATATAATAAGCATGACATGGTAAAATCATACCAGGAAAAAAACAGGAATTACCAGTATTCTGTTAAATTAGAGGACAGGAACTGTTTATGAAAATATGAATTTATTTGGAATGAAATCTTTATCAATGTTATTAAATAAAAACAGGTGCTTCAGTGGTTAGCACTTTCACCCCACATCAAGAAGGTCGCTGGTTCGAGTCCGAACTAGACAGGGTGACATTTCTGTGTGGAGTTTGCATGTTCTCCTCGTCTGTGTGAGTTTCCTCCGGGTGCTCCGGTTTCCCCCACAGTCCAAAGACATGCGCTGTAATTGAATTGGGTAAACAAAAATGGTCATAGTATGAGTGTGAATAGGTGTTTTTTAGTACTGGGTTGCAGCTGGAAGGGCATCCGCTGCGTAAAAAATATGGTGGATAATATAGGTGTGAACCTACACTGGTCTCACGGTTCGATTCTGACTATCATGCCATCAATTCGGTTTAAATTAATATCATCACAGTTCATCGACGATGCTTTCCATACATATTTATATTTTTTTCTTTACAACACAACACAAAAACTGTACTAAAATCTATAAATATATTTCAAGAGTTCACACTTAGATAGTGCTTGACTATTTAAGCTAGTTTGGCATGCTGTCCCGGGAGAGAACCCTGAGCTCGGTGATAGATGAGCCCAAGGCTCCCGCCTGGTCAATAAGCATTAGGAGAGATATGAGATCAGGTAGTTCTCGATAGCTCCCAAAATAAATCACTATTGGCGCTAATTTGTAGTATGTGCTTGTGACTTTAACTTTGCATGTTTTTTTTGGGGTGTGGGAGGAAATCGGAGTACCCGGAGAAAACCCACGCGAACACGGGGAGAACATGCAAACTCCGCACAGAGAGTATCGGTTGGCTCAGCTAGTGTTGAACCAATGACCTCCTTGCTGTGAGGCAACAGTGCTAGCCACCGAGCCGCCGTGACGTCCGGAGGAGGGAGAAGGGAAGGATGGGGGGGGTTTCCAAAAACGAAGATGAGGAATGAAGTTTAGGCTGGATATTTATATTGAATTTAGAGTGATCCGATTGGCTAGTTAGTGATTAGTGATAAGGATCAGCTGTAGTCAATTCTATCACGTGCTCCTCTCGAAATTAGTTTGGGAAACTTCACTAATATTTTTATATTATTTGCAATACAATTGTCTCACGTAATTCAAGCAGTAACATATATAAACTGTATCTTTACTTGACTCGCTCAAAGAAAACACTCTTTTTGAATGTTTTAAATAAAACTCAAATACATCCATAAAAGACAGCATGAGCATTTATAGCACATAAACTAATGTAAATATTATCCTGCTTGCTTTTCGAGCAGTCAAGCGATTTCCTACACCCCTATGATTGGTCATTGTCACCACTTTCTCAACAGAAAGGGCTGCGATTGGCTTTAAAAATGAAAGCGCTGTTCACTGATGAGTGACACTTGTAGAACAGCCACGGTTACAGTCTATATGTGCATAATGCGCGGTTATCACAGGTAATCCATAATTGACGCAGTGGAGAAGGAAAAGTTACCTCTTGATCACGCCAGCGGGTCAAATGTCCAAAGAGAGAGAGAGAGAGAGAGGGGCAGGGATGGGGTTTTACAGCATCTCTCACTAGTAGTGAAATAGCTGCTTATGCTGTACCTTCTTCAATGTCAGTGAAAGACTGTCCAGCAAACTCACAAGCAGTGAATCGAGCACAATTATCTGCTTTTTAATAAGTAATAGGAGCATTTTACTTACTCGCCCTCGCCCACTTCGCCATAGTATTCATCACTCATAGGAGATAAATAACATCAGTGCGTAATTACCGGTTATGATCTATTACTGAATCGATACCGAATTGTCCGCATCTGCATCACGGTGCACAGAGGAAACAATTAATTTTGACACCCCTACTGGATAAGTTGGTGGTTCACTCCGCAGTGGCAACCCCTGACAAATCAGGGACTAAGCCAAATTAATAGGAATAAATGAAATAAACAAAACACATAAGCTTAATTATGCTTTGGTAAATTACACTTTAAATAAGGGGTCTTCAAAGACAAAGGTTGAGAACTGCTGTGCTAGTGTAATTAAAGATAACGCATTCTGTGTACTTCAAAATGAGGGTCTCGATTCGTCCCTCGAGTTGCATTTTCCCTGCAGAAGCCAGCTTTAATCACTAATAAATAATAATAATAATAATTCTTGCTGGTTAGAATCTAGTTTTCCTGAAGAAATAGCTTATCCTGTCCTTGTGTGTTAGATTAGAGGTAGAGCTCAAGGCCAGGGTTTTTAAAACGTGCCAACCTTTTCATTTGTGCCCAATCAGATTTCAATATGATGAATGCCGTCTACTAGTAATTTACAAGTTAAGGTTGTGGTGTGGTTAAAGGCTATTTCATATTAAAAACAGTAATAATCCTTCAGTATTTCTGACTAAAACCGCCAAAAACGAAAATAAAATTGCTCCCATAAGCCATTTCATGGGGTCTTTATGATTTGTCCTCACTGACCACTTTCAGTGTTTGCTCTTCATGTGCCTTCCTCTGTTCAAATAGTGGCAATACTGTGTTTCTGTCTCTGTTTATTGCCTTATTGTGGAGACCACTTTAAAATACATATATATATATTTTCGATTTAGCTGTAAACATAAATATTTAAAGGAAGATGCTCTACTATAGATTTCTACTACGATGATAAAGTTAATCATTTATTTGTTCTGGTACTTTGTCTTGTCTACTCTGTAGATGTGAATCAGAGTCCTTCTAGAGTCTGCAGTGCTGGTGTCCTGTGTTCTTTCTTGGTGGCATTTTTTTTTTCTGCAAAACCTGTATGCGTATTACATTTATTGGCAGGCCAGTACAGTTGGGTATAAAATTAAACTTCCTTTTTTTTAAGCTAAAGAAAGAAAAATCTGTTTTAGACATCTTATGTAGCATATCAGATCCTTGAAATGAGTTTAAAATCTTAGTGGTTTCTTGTATTGTTTGGTGCTTTTATGCAATTTGACCCATATGCATACTTAAGTAAATAACATTAACTCTTTTTATTTGAATTACCCAATGGTTGTCTTTAAAGTTGAATCATAAAGCATCCAGCTGATTTAATACGATATGATTGCTGTAATATGCACTAATGTAGCAAGAACTATGTTGTTGGTTCTTTTTTAGCTGAAAGACATTTGCATAGAATATTCTTTTATTACATTTTTAAGCCCCTGGTGGAAAAAAAGTGATTTAAAGTAATGGTACAAGGTACAAAGAAAAGGTTTAGCACACAATCCAGTTTTTAAACTGACTTTTGTGCACAGGCTGGATTTGTGTTGCTTTATGTTGGATTAGCTGTGTGAGACTATTGCTCAGACTGAGAGAGTGGCTATGCACAACTAAGTAAAGCTTATGTGTATATAAAGATATATGTGATTTTAGTTGATGATAATAATTATCTTTATTGCTGTCGTTCCCCAAATCCCTCCTATTTTTGTATTATTTAAAAACAAAACAAATAAATTATCCCTACTGTGACGTGGAAAAAGAAGTCATTAGCTATTTATAAAATTCAGAATTTATTTTTTTAAGTGTTTTAGTAGTATGTTTTAAAAGCTTTAACTTATCCTGTTTTAACAAGTATCATTGAGATTAATGAAAGTAACCAAAAACGTGGTAATGTTGTGCTAAATTGTCACAATGCAAAATAAAATTTAATCATATATAAAAAAAACCTCATTAAATATAATTTCTTTAATTATTTAGCTTTTATTATTTTAGGGTACCTTTTTTAACCTTTATTAGAGTATTTATCTGAAACATGCACTAAAGCAAAGACTCTAGAATACACAAGACGTGTCACTCGTATCTGTTTGAACGGGGAAGAGTGTAATTGTTAACATGGTGAATAAAGCTCCGCCTACTAGTACAGGAGCCAATCATCGATCGCTCTATAGTGAAAAAAGCCCACCTGCTAGTACAGGAGCCAATCATCGATCGCTATATGGTGAAAAAAGCCCGCCTTCCAGTACAGGAGCCAATCATCGATCACTATAGACTGACGATACTCTGAGAGAGGGGCTTGGACCTGATGTGAGCTTCTGCAGATTTTGTGTGATTCGAACATTTAGAAATGAAACTAAAGAGACAGCTGTTGTTTTATTTTATTATTGATTCCTCATTTGAAATTTAATCATAAGCTTGGCAAGCAAGTTTGGAAAATGTGATGTTTCCCCATTCAAACATAATACCCGAGCAAACTGCCTGAGAGGTGTTTCAAAGATGGCCGCCAAATGACTTCCCTCAAAGGGACTTTGACTAAAGTTAGCAGTAGCATCTCATGTTATAACCTGTCAGAAGCGTAAACTCCTTGTACAACTCAGGTGTCAACCTAGATTTGACAAACGTTTTACTGCTCAAGATAATAAGTACAGATATATAGACAGACAGCAGGTGTCCGAGCTGTGAGGGACAGACAGAGAGATAACATGCAGATCTCTTATCTTGGATAAGATTCCAATGTGTTTTGGGTGAAAGTCAGTGTATTTCCCCAAGTATACCAGATGCATGAACGGTCTTTCATGCCTGGATCAAGGAACTTTACATATTCTCCTATTCAAACTGTTACAGGTGCCTTAACCCATGCAAATGTAGATTAGTTGTTCAAAGCTAAGTCTTTAAGCAATGCAGTATTCCCATTCCTAGAATATTCAGATATGAATGCCAAAGGAGAAA